AGTTTGATAGTTGGATTTCAGATGGACAAATACATCAGTATGTGACTGGAGGACCTACCATCCACAGCCTGGTGGAGCAGCTCATATGGCCGTGAGGTTCGAAGATCCAGCCGTGGTAGGCCAGCAGTACTTTGAGGGTATACCGCAGGACGAAGATGAGGGAAAGCCACAGGCCTGTGGCAAACAGTATGGCACTCACAATTGTCTGAGTCTGTACTGTCAGATAGTCACTACAAAGACAAATGTGGCACATTAAAACATTTATAAGGACGTATAGGTGCTTTATGCAGACACTGGACTCAAATACACACTTGCAATTAGCTAACATTAACTTGCTAAGTTAGCTAATGCACTTGCTTAACATTTGTATCACATTATCTTAAGTGAGTTATTTGTAGCTAATATTATTTTGTTATTGTTATTATGTTTCGCTAACAGCATTGGTGTAGCGTTTATTTGGATTTCCGGAGTGTTCACCTGACAGCCAGGGTTTGTTTGATGCTGTCGATCATGCCCATAGAGGGGTCTATCCTGGCGTACATGGTGCTCATTATCGCCACCACAACGATAAGCCAGCTCGACGGACTGGCAGGGTAAACCCCAGTAAGGATGCCATTCTAAAACAAAAGAGCATTTGCTTGTCATACAACGTGGTTCGATTTTGTCAGAAGATATGGGGAGAAAACAGAAATGTGTCTGATCATATTTATCTCTCTCTCTTTTAGAAATAAGCAAGCACAAACCAGATAAGGGCTACCATGGTGGAATTTAAACCAGTTAGCAAGCTAGGTGGCTAGCTAACGTTAATTCACCTTGAACCGAATTGCCCGCTTCCTCCATGACGTCACTCCGGCCAGGTAAATGTGCTTGAGCACCTCCCGGCTCAGGTGAAGGTCGATCCCGTCGGGGGTGACGGTGAACTGAAAGCCCACCGCCTGGTGAGCCTCCGCCATCGCTCAGGCTTTTTACTCGGTCGAAAAACAGTCCTAAAGCAGAAAAAGCAAAAGGTTTCACAGACTGAACATCTGGTATCCTTTCAAATTCCACTGGCGTCCTCGCGCGGGAAAGACGTTTCAACCGACAAATAAACCGAAGCTGCCGCTGCAGCTCAGCGCAGTGCAGACGCAGCGAACGTTAACCGTTTGAAAAAATGTCTAAAATACTATGTCACGGTGCACGCTACAGCCGAACAGACACAACTCCAATAAACGACTGACTGTACAATTAAATATTAGCATACCAGGTATAAAACTGTGGATTAATGTAAAATTTGGGAAGGGTGTGAGCTGCCGCGAATAAATGCGGGGAATAAAATAGCAAGCCTGCTAGCTACTGTGATAACCTAACCAATATTATCTGAGTTAGACCATATTCGGATAGCAATTAATTTATTAGCCTGCAACAGAACCATTAGTTAATTATTGAATGTTTATGTGGCATAATGACCCGATGGATACACCCATAAATAGAAGTACGTGATGTACAGAGATGTAATCTCCACTTCTAAATAAAACAACATATTGCCATGTCTTTGCCGTTTATTTAGAATATTGTCTGTTTGGAGGTCACGGAGTGCTGTGTAGTACTCAGGCAAGTCAAGCTTGAATGACATTTTCCATCTTATCATGTGACCACAGTCCTCCTGGCGAAGTAGGACAAAGTTGAAGCGCCAGATATAGCGGTGTAATGGTGAACACAGCGTGACCCATGACGCAGGACAACTTATAAATATAAACACTAGGCTGCAGAAGAACACGTGAGTTACTCTGAAGTACATGTAAGGAAACTCTTATTAGCAATCGAAATATAATCAAATATAATATGACTGCTTTGGGGGATTGTTTTGCTTTTGCTTTTGCTTGCAAGCGACCTCTCCTGAAACTTGATTAATACACTCCTTTTGTCACACATGTCTAAATGGTGTATTACACTCATGTTGACATTGCAGATTAGATTAAGGATATCTACAGTCAGTTCTACATTTAATGGTTTGTGGCAAATCCACATGTCCAATTGTGGTACACAAATACTATGATTTAGCATGGATAAGTTGAATGAAGATAAACAATATGTGATCAGGTTTGAGTAACTGCCATTGCTACTTTAAAAAAACCTGTAATGCATCACCATGGGTTATGGGGTTCATTAAGATGTGTAATCTGAGAGACATAGTCTATCCAAAGTGTTATTATAGATAGGTCTTGATGTCTGAAGGTAAATATTCTAGAACAGCTGAGGGCAGTTATTGAGGTGAAAGGGCATGAAGATGGAATATTAATGGCACAAATAAACATTTCTAAAGCCCAAACATATATGCACAGAGTGAGAACTGCAACCCACCAAGAACCAGTAGTAAAACCCATGTCAACCATGAATACCACTGCAGGAAACTTAAAATAAACACTTGCTTGTGGAAAGACATGATACACTTTGTAAAGACTGACAAATCACATGGCAGCAAACTGGCAAGAGAATAATACATTTGAAGATGCAACCGGTCGAAAGAGAAATACAGCAAGACTGAAAGCAGAGTCACCCTTTGTGTGAAGATGTCATACCTCTGTGTCCTTGGATATGAATGTAGCACCCCAAGGTAGAGCAGTGTGAAGGGTAGACTTTCTCAGGGCTGGAGGCTCTCCAGGGCAGAGCTGGTTTAGCGTTTAGTGTCTGTGAAGCTCTGTGACTTCAGTGTCCTTCAGACTGTTTCCCTTAGGTACTGAGAGTGAACCCTGTGAACACTCTCTCTCAGTCTCTCTCTCCTTCTCTCTCTCCCTCCCTCTTGCTCGATCCCTGTGCAGAACCTGCCCTGCTCTCTGTGTGTAACCCGACACCAGCCAATGCTGGACTGTACCTCACACGCAGGCATTTGTCTACTCCCTGCCTGCACCAGACGCTGTCCCAAACACTCAATAAAGACCCTCTGACAATGTGGCTGCAAATAGCCAGGCCATGCTACGTTTTTCTACCAGAGGCATGTTAAGAGTGCAGGAAGTCAGATGAACTCAGCCATAGCAGTGAAGCAAAGACTAATGTTGATTTGTTTAAACATTTTTTTTTTTGCTAGAACTGAATACATTGCTGTGCTGCTGCTCTGGCATGCCTGTTTGTCATCTCTTGACTGTTTTTCCATGAGGTCAGTCCAGCTTTGCCATATCAGGGGCAGCTCACAGTGTGCTTAAATGGGACATTGTTTACGGAAGAATATAACAAGCTTCGCCTCACCTGTTAACTCAGAACTTAAACAATGAAGAGTTGAAGGTTGAAGGGGTCAGCTTTATGGAGAGTCCACGCATTCCATCCAGTCAAGTGTGTCTTACAGATCAATGGTGATATTCGCTGCATTATAGAAACACAGCACTGCTTTTTATTATATTCAGTTGTGTCGTTTCGATTTCCAATATTCTTGGCTAGCAGCTTTCTCACTGCTACATGACTGGCTAGCTTGGTTTGATTACTATTGCAGTGGTTAACAGTTACTATCCTACTAGGGTAGAAATCACTTCAGTCCTCATTGACTAACACAGAATTATCACAGTGTTATGTAACTGATATGTCATAGAGAGTAAACCTTAACCCCACTATTGAATGACAGAGCAATTACAAGGATTGCAAGGAGTGTTTTTTATTCATCCCTTGAGTTACACTAGAAGTATAGATGGAAGAGGGCCTCATAGCTGGTGGAGATTGGGAGAGGAGGGAGGTGGTGGACAGAGAGTGACTGGAGGTTGATTCTGGCAATAGAGTTGTGCTCTATGGCTGGCATGTAGACTTCGCTGTTGAGAACCGTTCCCTGGCCTGCGAGCGCCATCTTCTCCATGGCACGCAATGTGCCCCACCGCTGAGATTCCACGCAGAACGACGTCACCACATTCTCAGAGTTGGTCCCACCAATCACGTACAGCCGGTCCGTCACCCCCAGGAAGTACAGGCTGGGGATTTCAGCATTGGCTCTGGTCAGGGTCGGGAGCAGCTCTGACCAGGAATCTAAAAAAAAGATAATAATAACAACACTATATATAGAAGCACTACATTGTGGAAAACCTCCTTTTTAGTGGTCAAGGATGAAATCAAATTTTAGTGAATAAACTCCGGTCTATAATAGTACCCACAGCAGCATTTATATTGAAGAGAAAATGTTAGAGTGCTCTAACAACCAAAGCATCATATTTTCTTTTCAATAAAGGTGCCAGAATTGTGCCCATCATGCTCTCTCTTTTCTATTCACAATTCTCCCCATTTTTACCATGAGACAATAGGGCTAATTGGGGTTCTAAGCAAATAAAAGCCCAGGCTACTAACAGAGGTTTTAAGGTAATTGCAACACCATGTAGTCCTGCAGAGTTTCCACCTTGCTTTTAACCTTGTGTAACCTGAAGTTAATGGATTACTCAATATGAAATGTTGAAAGATCCCTTTGAAGGGAGAGCAAAAATCCTGTGGCAACTTGTGAATTATCTGGTCAGATTTGTGTAAACAGGCTGTCTGAAGGGTTTGGACCACTGTGACATTGAATGGTCAGATTTGAGTAAATAGGGTAGCGAAAGAGTTTGGACCATTGTAACACTGCATAGTCAGATTTGTGTAAACAGGGTAGCTAAAGAGTTTGGACCATTGTGACATTGCATAGTCAGATTTGAGTAAACAGAGTAGCTAAAGAGTTTGGACCATTGTGACCTTAGCTGCTTTTGGAGACACTCCTGATCTTATCTGCAGCACCTTTGGCACTGTTTAGGTGTTTGTAAGCCACAGAAAGCACAGTAAGAAATGAGAGGGCCTTGAGAACAGGTCCGTCTCTAGTGACAGGAATGTGAAACACAGCTGAGTATCCGTCAGTCCAGTTTAAATAACATTACTGCATTACATTATTGGCATTTAGCAGACACTCTTATCCAGAGTGACTTTCATAGGTTACAATTTTTTACACGGTACCCATTTATACAGCTGGATATTTACTGAGGCAATTCTGGGTTAAGTGCCTTGCCCAAGGGGTGCAACAGCAGTATCCAAGCAGGGAATCGAACCAGCAAACTTTTGGTTACGAGCCCCGAGCCTTACCACTGTGCTACACTGCCGCCCCTTAGTTTACCTTGTCTGACATCATACTGCAGCACGAGCTTCTCCCCGGTCCTCTGGATGGTGCCGATGACGTAGATGCAGTGGCCGAGGGTGGCGGTGAGCGGGATGTCGTGCGAGAGGGACATGGTGAAGAGGAAGTCGGTGAGGGGCAGGGAGGAGACGAAGGCCCAGGCGTCGGCCCAGGGGTCGTAGCGCTCCACGGCCGTGTAGAGGGCCGTGCTGGAGTCCGGGGCCACCAGGGAGTCCAGGTACCAGCCGCCCACGGCGAAGATGGAGCCCTCGCAGACGGCCACGCTGAAGTGCCGACGATGCTGCAGAACCACACATTGCATTACTTATCGAGTACAATAGAACACAAGTGCATCCATTCAAGTTGAAAGAGCAACAGTGTCAGACCAAGCTAACAACACTCCCAGACCAGTGAGTGTGAGCATAACACCATTCAAGCCTGACCACAAGTTAACTTGTGCTACCAGACTAGACAAGGTAAGCGAAGTATACTACCATATATCAGTGACTAGATCACAGAACCCAGACACATTGCAGTGCTACATGTAAAATAAACAGCAAGTACTACAAGTACACACAGTGGAGCTTTCAAACCTCTGACGCTCCCCAGTGATCAACTCTTAAGCAGTGCGGTCACGGACTGAGGCAGGTCCCCTCTTACCTTAATGAGAGGAGCTGTGGAGACCCAGGTGTAGGTGCAGGGGTTGAATCGGAAGGAGGCCATCTTGAATTCGTACCCCCTCCGCGCCCTGTGCCTGTAGCCCCCGATGAGGTAGAGGTAGTTGTACAGAACAGCGGCGGTGAAGCACCACTTGTCGGCCGCGAAGGGCATCTCGGTCACCCTGCACCACTCCCCGTCGTCCTCCGACCCCACCAGGCTGTAGAGGTGGCGGGCGGGCTCCGTCTCCGGGTGGCCCCAGGAGGTCAGGTTCTCCTTCCTCAGGACGCACAGCCGAGAGGAGCCGGCCGAGCGGAGGCGGAGGAGCTCCTCCCTCTCCCCGGCGTCCAGGCCCCGGCTCAGGTGGGGCAGCTCGAACAGGTGCCTGCTCAGGTAGCGGTACACCGTCTCCTGCATCTCTGTGCAGCAGATCTCCCGGGCGAGGGCCAGGTAGGCCTCGCAGTTCTCCGGGCTCAGCGTTCCGGCTAGCGCGGCCAGGCACTCGGAGACGAAGGCCCGCGCCAGGAGGTAGCCGCCCACCTCGATGTGCGTGCCCAGCTCGCCCTCGGGAACGCCGAAGCGGCCCAGGAAGGTGAACTCCAGCAGGTTGCGGAAGACGGCGGAGGGGACGTGCTCCAGGTGGATGAGGCTCTCCGTGGTCTCCCTCATTTTGGACTGCGACAGAGCTCTGAAGTACTCGCTGCACTCAGACAGCTTATCCAGGTCAACCTTAAAGCCACAAAAAAGAAAAGTCAGACTCTGCAGCAGATCAGTCAAAAATAAGACTGTGTCATAACTCAACAGGCATGAAGATAATTCCACTGCATGAAGCATCCAGTAGAATTTGAGTCACTGAAGAACAGTATAGCTTATGACTATTTCAATGATCAGATCAACCAAAGCATGTCAGTGAAGAACAGTGCAAAGAGTCCTTACTCGGAAAGCATGTGTGCTGGTCTGCACTGTCACAGTGGGTTGACCTCCACAGGAGTAGGTTCTTGATGCGATGTCTGTTTGCCAAGACTCGGATGCCCCATTGTCTCCGTGATCACTCCCCTGACCTCCGGGAGCAAATCTCCAGCTCTTGAATGCAGCATAACCCCACTGCGCCCGTTCTGAGAAATATTTTAGCAATGTGGCGACATACATTAGTAGCAGTGACATAAACTGTCCCAGAATCTTCATTGTAATTAATGTTTATTCTCAGTTATGTATTAATCTGGGAAGCTGGTCCTTCCACTATACTTATTGAATGATTTCTTGGACCTTAATTGTTGTCATAGATTATTCAGTGGTAGCTGGAAATCATTCCCTTGTTGTTCGCTTTAAAAGCTGATTCACAGTGTGGATTTGCAGGAGTAAAATCTGTTTTTTTTTGTAAATGAGACAGGTTATTGTTTGATTCACTTTAAATGCTAAGAAGCTTGTGGTACTTCGTAGTGCTTGTCCTTATAGTTACAATGGCATGCAGTTTACAGTGTAAACAGCCGTTCTGAGCCAGAGAATTTTCATGACCACATTTTTGACAACCTTTTTTTCCTGAAGCGGACGACAAAAACTGAAAGCACTTAAAAGGTCTTGAACACACAGACACATCTAATGAAGACGGAGTGAGGCAAAGTAAAAGTCCTACTGCAATAATACACTGCTCCTCTTCGGTCAGATGATAAAAAAAAATATGCAAAAAAACCAAGGGTAAATCCGGCTTTCAGAACGTCTCTGACGGAAGACCCGATCAGATGGTAGCCTTCATGCTACTTCCAAAAGCATAAATTGCTGGGATTGTAGCAAGCTTGTTGCAGGCGTATGTTTTGGTCAGGCCGTCTATTTTAAGTCACATGCGTTGGTAGAACTGCAGTGCCTCTCAGTGCTGAAATATGACACCCTGTTCCAATGGAGGACTTCATTCCCTGTTAGGGGGAGTGTATTTAGAGCTCAATTATGTTCTTGTCAATGGAAACAGCTTTGTGCATGTGCAAGCATTTGTGTGTGTGTGTGTGTGTGTGTGTGTATGTGTGTGTGCGTGCATGTGAGTGTGTGTGTGTTTCCCAGCGTCTGGTCATCACATTCTCCACTCCAGTGTAGGAGCAAGCTTGTTGCAGGGAGGAGCTGGACGAGTTGCCTGATAGCAACCCACAATGCCAGGCTGAATTTACTGTACCTCCACCCCTCTAGTATGACAGTGTGCCCAAACACATTCCTGCAATAGCCAACAGTGCATCCCTAAATCTTATGCAGACATGTTGTTTAGGACGTGTGCATGTTCAGCATATGATTGTACATGCTATAAATGTTACATAGCCTACTTACGCTCTGTAAACACAGAAGACAAGGTGTTTTCCCATGAGAGAACCAGTCCATTGCTGTCAAACACAGCTGTAGTCTACACCGGGAGTTTTTACACATTGAGAGTTCTGCTCTGTGATATACACTGAGATGATGAGAGAATTATCAGGTGCTGATATAGTCTTCAGCAAGGTATTATTTCAGCTCTGATGAAGGTGTTGCTGTAGATAAAAGCAGAATTAGCTGGATTTAGCAACAATTATTGCATATGTTAATTTGTAAGCCATGTACCATAAATTCCCTGAATAAGGGTGCCTGTTCGGCAATTAAATAATGACACAAAGACATGAAGAAGCATGTCAAATAGGAGCAAAAGTAACTTTAAATTTTGAGACCTCAACTTCCTACCTTCAAATTGTGGTACAATAAAGTCTACATCAAAAAGTATTCTCTTGCTCCTCTTAAACTTCTAAACCAAGCCTTTTATCACAGGAGAAATCAGAGTAATGGATATTTAAATACAACCAATGAGGCTGACATTAATGGTAATATGAGCACGACTTGTGTTACAGCATTCAGTTTGATAGATGTTGCATTATTTTTTTTTCTTGTTGCCGTCATTGATTGATAAAGAAAATGAGTACATTTTCTGTCACTCTGTTATGTTCCAGAATAAATGTACTATACAAAATAAGGCACCCTGATTGTAGCAGTAGGTCACTTCACATTCATTTAACCACATTTTTTGTGTCATCACTTTGCAGTATATTGGTACAAACATTTAGTGTCAGAAAGTTCAGCTTTTAAACTGTTGATGCAGAGAGAGAAAGAGCAGAAAATAAAGCCAAGCATGTTTCGAGCTGGCATAAAAAACTGATTCATTGTAATGTTCTTCTGTAAGCCTCCTCAGTTTGCTTGTTCATGTTGACTGCTATTTAAGTTTTGGTTTGTGATTGTCTGTATTTAAAAATGTAAGTAGCACAGGATAAATGTGCAAATGGATGTTTCACAGGATATCCACAACAGTCTGTCCTTAAGAGATATTCAGTACAGAATGGCTCATGAAGAAGTTGAGAATGAATGAATCAATTTCAGATTGATGTCTCCAGATACATCATGGAGATGCAACCTACAACAATTGAAAAAATATACATGAATTGAAAATTTAGCACATTTGGAACCATCAAATTTAGGCTAAATGCTGTAAACTGGGCAATACTACATTCTTTACTACCGCATAAGTCAGAATATTTCCTGCAATGTGTAGTGCTAAACGCTGGCTCAATTTAACCTGTGACAAGCATGGAAAGTTGTGAGATTCAGTCTACAGTAAATAAATGGCAAGTGAGTGGGAGACGTGTTTTCATAACTGTTTCTTAACTGCATATCTATTGACAGTTACTCAAAGGGGCAAGTTTTTCTTTAGAATAAATCACCTTTTTTTATGTTGCTGTGGTATAAGGCACAAGTGCAGACATTATAGGGAATCTCGCCTTGATATCTTGGATCCCCTATATACACAGATATTTCTAGAAATAATAAAACCACTCCTTGCAAAATTGAAAGGCATTGGCCCATTCACAATACATGGCTCTAGCAACATGTGCTCTGAACCACTGATCTCTAATGAAGATTAAAGATGTACTAGTAGTGTAGGCCTACTGTGGGCATGTGGCAGTGATGAGGTACCCCAGGCTTCTTAGTTACTTGCCAAGGGTACTGTAAATTTGCATATCAGTTAAACTTGTCAATTCTTTAGAGTAAGGACATAAAATTACAGTAATAACTGTCACAGCTATTTAGTGTCTTCCTGATATCCACCATGCCTTGTTAATAGGAGGGTAAAAGCTACATAACCCATTCCCATTATACCGCTGCATTTTAACTAAACAAAATCCTCAAACAAACAGTATTTATAAGTAAAACTGTAGCAATTCATCAATGACAAGGAGCACAGTTTTAGACTCCTGTTCTGTTGCTGCTGGTTGTACTTGTACCTGCTTCAGAGTTTGTTTTTTTGTTAATGAACTAGGCAGTTTATGT